AGCAGGAACTGAGCACAAGCTACCTGGTGAGAGCCTGTCCCACAACAGGGCAGAAATAACTTCTGTGCTTCACAGCCAACACAAGTGGAGTTTATTTACCACACTTAGAGCTGCATGCACAGGGAGGTGAATGGAAGTAAAAACAATCTCATTTGTTTTGGTTTAATTTTTCCTCAAGTCTAAGCAGTCATAAAAAGATCCTTTAGTTTGTCTTGTAATTATTCACACACCTGCACCCTCACTAAAAAAGCATGTGGTTAAGGCACCAAGAAAAACATACCTAAAATTTGCTATTATTCTAATAAATTAAGGGTTTAACAAATCCTTAACTCCTGCAACTCACTCATCTCAAGAGTAAAACCACTCCTTCACCCAAACAAAAAGCCTTGTATTAAATTGAGACCTAGAAATGAAAATACTTCTGACTCACAGAAGTGTCAGAAACCAAACATCTTTTCCCAGACTGATACATTTAACTTGTTCTTCAAAGTATAAAATACTGGGCATACATTTTCCAAGCAGAAAGACAATACTTACCTGACCTGCTTTACTAAACCTATGGCCAGCCAATATCATGTGAAATGCAAACTTTCTAACCATGGGACTCTTCATGTTTATGAAGCAGTGGGCTGCCTGCTCCAGCAGAAGGGCACTCCGAAGATCTGAATCCTGTTTAAAAGAAGAGAATTAGCCTTGAAGTTAAATACTAACAAAGATAACAGTAGCTTTGTTTTAATGCTAACAGACAGGAAGCTTTAACAATGCTGTGAAGTTGAAGATTATTTTATATGCAAACTTTAGATGTATGTGTATATATACAAGAAAATAAGATTATTTTTCCCTGTTGCCCCATCCTATCAGTGATGTCCAAGTACTGTCTGGACTACAAATTTACTCTAGTTGAAGAATATACAAACGTTAGATGAATGTGTGTATATAAAAGAAAACAAGATTAAGTATTTTTCCCTGTTGCCCCATCCTATCAGTGATGTCCAAGTACTGTCTGGACTACAAATTTACTCTGAGACACCTACATAATACCCTGTGAAGATTTTCTTTGCCACTGCCAAAAGGCACCAGAAGCATACTACATATAATTTTAAGTTGTAAAATGATTGTGCAGAGTTAACAGCATTTAAAATCCTTGCTTAAGCAACTTACACTGCTCACGTAAATCTTCATAGCAAGCTGAAGTTGAAAGGACAAGAAGGAAGCTACAGAGACACTTGAGACACAGAACTAAGCAAATTTATGCTTAATCTGTCCCAGGCAAAGTCTCAGAAGCATCACATTTGGTGCAGCTGGCCCCAAAACCAGAACTGTCAGACTTCCCTCCAAGCTACATAGATGCTGTACTATAACTGGTATTACATTTCTTTCACTCCTTTTCAAGCAAGACACTTTCTGGGCTGTTGGAAGCTAATTCCATGCTTAATTTCCACCAATTAATATTACAGAAGTTTCAGACTAGCTTTCCCTTACACAGTAAGATTCTAATGATTCATAACAGCTGAGCTACAGTAATGTCCTAGTTACTTAAACTATGGAGAACTTGTGATTATACATGGGATACAGGATCCATTAGGGCTCTGGCAAGCCATGCTAATGCTTTTAACCCAGGAGTTCTTAAACTGGAAATAGGCCATAGAAGAGCTAAGCAGGTGTAAAAGAAAATCAGTTATAAAGCCCAAGATAACAAATGCACATTCAGCATGGTTGAAGAAGTCAAGCAACTCACTTGACTAGAAGTATCTGTACTAGTTTCTTCACTTTTAAACACTTTTCTTGTGCTTTATACCAGCTCATTTGCTACCTTTGGCTACGAAACATCCTAGGGCAAGGAGGAGAACCTAGAAGTGCTTGGGTAAATAAACAGCAGGAGGGCATGAGTGGAAAAAGCTACTAAGTGTTTTACCTCACTGGTTAAACGAATGAGAAGAGCAGCAGCCTCTGAATACTTGCTTTGACTTTTTAAGATTTCTGCACTCAGCAGCACACAACGTTCAGCCAGAACCATGTTCCTAAAGCAAAAACAAATGTGTTAATAAATATTTATCAAAATAAACCATGAAAAACTCTTCACCTCAAATGTGACAAATTTTCTCCCTGTGGCATCAGACTGATGTTCTGTTTATCCCTCTTAAAGTAAAACACATGAAAGTTCATCCCCTGCAAAACAACCATGCACAGATTGACACACCAACCATCCTTCCCTAGCCAAAACTTGACAGATTTTGAGGATGTTACTGTATTTATAAAAATACCAACTAAATGATCTGAAAAATGAGAAGTCCAACAGCCAGAAACAAGTTGTGCTGTGTTGACCTTGGTGGGTACACCAGGTGCTCACCAAGCTGGTCTATCACACACCCTCCTCAGCAAGATGGGGAGAAAATCAGATTAAAAAGCTCACGTGCTGAGATAAGCACAGGCAGACCACTCACCACTTACAGTCACATGCAAAACAAATCTGGTTTGGGGAAGGTTAAGTTAATTTATTGCCAATTAATAACAGAATAGTAGAATGATAAAGAATATCCTTTGTAGGCTTGGCTTCACTCCCAACTGTCCTACCTGCTCCTCCCCCACAAGTAGGACAGGCAGATAGGGAAAAGGAGTTCTGGTCAGTTAATAACATTTCACCTCTGCCACCCCTCCCTCTTCCTTATGCTCTTGTCCCTCATTCCTCCCACAGACACAATTCAAGGGTTGCTCCAGCACAGGTCCTTTCCAAGGGGTACAGTCCCTTCAGGGACAGAATGTTCCAGTGTGGGTTCCCCCTAGGTCACAGCTCTGGCCAGAAGCTGCTCTGGCACAGGCTCTCCACAGCCAGCAGCTTCCTTCAGAGCACATCTACCTGCTCTGGCTTCATCCTCCATAGGCTGCAGCATGGACCCCTGCTCCACTGTGGTCCTCCATGGACTGCAAGGGGACAACCTGCTTCACCATGGTCTTTCTTCTCTATAGGCTGCAGGGAAGAACCTCCTCCCCTCCTTCCTCACTGATTTTGGTGTCTGAAGGGCTGTTTCATTGTCTCACTCCACTCTCACAGCTGCTGCACACAGTTTGTTACCATTTCTGAAGTAGATTATCACAGAGGCACCACCAGCACTGCTGACAGGCTCAGCTTTGGGCAGCAGCAGGTCCCTTCTGGAGCTGGGTGAAAACTGGGGCAGCTCCTGCTGTCTTCTCACAGAAGCCATCCCTGCAGCCACCCCACTACCAAAATCTTACCAGGTAGATCCAATACATGAGTTTAATAATCACTCTTAAAGGCACAGAACCCTTTCCATGTTATCCTAGATAACATACCTTACTCTTTATCATTCTGTGCTCTTTTAGTCATCTGGCACTAGCACTACACAGGGGAAGAAAGTTAAACTACCACATCTTGCAGCTTTCATTGGAGGAGTACAGAAGTAAACAACATACTTGCAGATATCTCGATAGGTCTGAATTGCTGTTTCCATATAATGAGCAGGATATGGTCTAGGAGCTCCAGGCTGAAGAAAAGCTGACACTGCTGCCATTTCCTACAGGAGACATTCAGAACTGTCACTGTAGGGTTTTTTTTCCAACTAATTGTAAACCTCAAAATGCTGAGGAACATGTTTCAATAGCTACTTGTTCAAGCTCTTCACCTAATGGATTACTGGCATATGAAAGTGCACCCAACACACTGTAACTGATAGAAGGTTTAATACAACAGCCTATTTATGGCTTTGCCTGCAATTACCCAGACATCAGCAGGAGTTATACACCAACACAAGTGTCTGCAGTTGATGGCAGCCCTAACACTACACAGAAGCACTCATTCACTACAGCTGATAATCTCCTACTGCAGGAGCAATCTCTATCTGATAGGGTAGCACTACTACCATCTGTTTTGAGATGAGGACTGTTTTCTGAGTTTTGCCTAAGTGAAGTTACATTCTCAGCTTCCAAAGAAGCTCTAATAAAATGCTGAAATTTTGCTTCTTTCCTTAAAGACAGGACAGTGAAGTTTTTCTGCAGTAAAGACTAAGACTCATAGGTTGCAAACATTCATAATTAAGATCTCTACAAACCATTAAGACTAAAGACTATGACTTGTAGGTTGCAAAAAATCCTAATTAAGATCTCTACAAACCATTAAGAAATTAAGTTAGCTCTTCAGATTATCCAAATGCAGAACTGTCTGTACTGCAAAAATACACATTCTTGTAAAGGTTCTACATCAAGACAGGCCAGTGCACAAGCTCCATAGCTCTACAAAGTTTCAAATTTTATCAAGTTAACCAGACTAAAATCTAAAAACCATAGCTTCTAAAAATTAAACTTTTTCTTTTTCCCCTGTGTTCTCATTTATCTTATTGAAAACTATTTTAGTCACATTATCTTCAATCTCAGAGAAATTAATGAATGAGTATGTGTTTACAGGGAAGTTTAGCAGTGATATACTCAAACCATATTTCTCAAGAGTCTTTAAAAAAAAATGTACACTATCATATTTACAGTGACATAGCCTTGGCTTCCTGGCAAATAAGTATTTTGCCCAAGTCAAAAAGATACTATAGAATTATTTCACACCTGATTGAGTTATCAAACTACAAGTTTAAAGATCCATTCTTCCAGAGGCTGCATTCCAGATGTTCCCCTTTCTGTATTTCACATTAAGAATTAACTCCTCAATTGTTATTCACACCTTTATTCCCTTCATAAAATAAGTCCCAAGTAGATCTGAGAACACTTTAGGACTTACTAAAGGCATGCAGCAAATTTGGAAAGACCCTTACAAATTTAGAGGTAGAAGAAGGAAATGGCATTTTGTTACCTTCAGACCAGAGGCTGTATTCCAGATAATCTTCATGTGAAATACAGAAAGGGGAACAAGTCCTCAATTTTTATTCACACCTTTATTCCCTTCATAAAATAAGTCCCAAGTAGATCTGAGAACACTTTAGGACTTACTAAAGGCATGCAGCAAATTTGGAAAGACCCTTACAAATTTAGAGGTAGAAGAAGGAAATGGCATTTTGTTACCTTCAGACAAATATTAAGAGATTATTAGGAAAAGTTCACAGAATGTTTATGTTATGTGAAGTACCAACCAGTGCTCATGCTGCATAAAGCATTGCCTGATCATTTAAGAAGTCTTTCTTTGCTGTATGGTAACAGCTGTATGCAAGCTCATAGTGTTGCACCAAAAAGCACAGGTCTGCCATTTTCCGGATTTGGAGCTCTGGTGCTTCTGGTGGATACCTAGAAATGCAAATATTGAAATTCAAAGTCAGAATTTTAATAAATAGAACAAGACATGCTCTATGAAGTCATCCCCTCTGATCTTAATTTCTGTTCACCAAGTAGGAATAAAAAGTGCATTGCTTCAGCCTTAGCCAACAAACATCTAAGTGAAGCTGCCACACATAATGGTTTCATAGTTTCTGGTGAACAAGAGCCACTGTTCCACTAACACTCAAAGCAACCATTCCTCTCAACCAAGAAATACTGAAAAGTATCTACCACTAAAACTCTTCTGTTAGAGTGACTGTTAGAGCTAGAGCTAAACAAAGCTGTACAAGAAAAACACAATAAGACTGACTGTTCACCCATCTGTAGTTGTTAATCATCCCCATTTCTCTTGAAAGAAAAAAATCCTCTAAATATTCCTTATGCCACAACATTGGGCAGGTTCCTGTCCTCTGCAAGCATCACTAACTTCTGGTTAGTCAAATATATATGAATCATTTCAGTGAAGATCAAGTACATTAAGATCAAATACATTTTCACAAACACTTGTTAGTCAAACTTTGTAGGAAGCAAACTGTGTGTCCAAGTTCAACACAGAAAACTGAGGTGAACATTTGGATGATGAAACCCAAGACAAAACATACAAATTTAAGGCAAACAAACACAGGCTTCACCTCTCAAAAAAAAAAAAAAAAAAGACAAGTACATTTTCAGTTTAGATCTAAAGGTAAGGACTGAAATTACTTACAGCAAACCAGAAGTATTCTTCAGCTCATTTATGCTTTTCTCTGGAACCTTGCTGCCACTAAACCATTTTTTAGTAGCAGAAAACAGTGATCGACTCAAACCTTTCCTGGATATTAACTGCAAAAAGACACTAAATTAGAGCAACAGAGACACTAATCTAAGTTTAACATAAAAACCCAAACTTCCTTAAAGCTTCCTAAACACACTTTTTTTTATAAAACAGAAATAAGATAACCAAGAGCACACTCCTTCAGAATGAATCACTGGCACTGAGATCAAAGTTGTAATTCATAGATTTATTGTATTTCAGACAGCTGAAATCTAATAGAATTCTGTAATCTAATTCCTGGTATTAGTCCAATCTAAAATCTAGACAAAGTATCTACCTCAAGAGAGAACATTCTCCTTGTCACCACCCACAGAAAGCTTCACCACATTGTGAACATCCATTTCAAGTGTCAAGGGCACTAGTCATACCTGCAAGCAAGGTTACACAACTTTGTTCTTCTAGGTAATTTCCACTAATGAGGAAACTCCCACAGGGAATTACCACTGTCAAGATTTAAGGCAAAGGATGTGTCTTTTTGAAGATAATGCTTTTCTTACAGTAACCAGGACTGTATCATTACACCCCTGATGGTAAGGCTGCTTGCTGTACTTGATGTATGCACTTCTTTTAAAAAATATTTCTTCATAAAGCTTTCCAAGCATCAACATGGCCAGCATATACCAACTCCCAAAAGTTAATTCAGGGAGAGAAGGTTCCATACAGCATGATACTTCATATCAAAGCCCCTCACACACTTCAAGCTATAACCTGAACAGACAATTTAACCCAAATACCAGTATGTCCTCAACACAGGCACGATATAAACTATCACACTTCCCCCCCCAAAAAAAATTCTGCTGTGAGAGAAGAATATTCAGTTGCAAAAACCACTGAGATCAAAACAGAATTCCATGATTCAAGGTGTCCATGTCAAGAAGTAGTAGCTGAAGTATGCAGCATTTACAGACTGAAAATACATTACTTTAGTTGTGCATTCCAATACTGAAACATAGACTCATAGAATCATAGAATCCTTTAGGTTGGAAGGGGCCTCCAAGATCATCAAGTCCAACCATTGAGCCACCAGGGCTCCAAAGTCCCCTGCCAAAACAGAATCAGAATCTGGCAGGGTTGGAAGGGACCACAAGGATCCCCCAGTTCCACCCCCTCTGCCATGAGCAGGGACACCTCCCGCTAGATCAGGCTGCCCAGAGCCTCCTCCAGCCTGGCCTTAAAGACCCCCAGGGATGGGACCTCAACCACCTCCCTGGGCAACCCATCCCAGGGTCTCACCACTCTCATGGGGAAGAACTTCTTCCTCACATCCAGCCTGAATCTGCCCACTGCCAGCTTTGCCCCATTCCCTCTAGTTCTGTTGTTACTTGAGATCCTAAAAAGTCCCTCCCCAGCTTTCTTGTAGCCCCCCTAAGATACTGGAAGGCCACAATAAGGTCACCTCAGAGCCTTCTCTTCTCCAGACTGAACAGCCCCAACTCTCTCAGTCTGTCCTCACAGCAGAGCTGCTCCAGCCCTCGGATCATTCTCGTGACCCTTCTCTGGACACGCTCCAGCAGCTCCACATAAAAATTGTATTTTGTTCCCAGTGCCAGAATCATCCAGAAGCATGAAATTAGGATTTTAGGAGCAAGGGCAGAAATCCCTGATAACAGTTCAGACAGGCTTCCACCAAGAAGCCTCCCTGCACTGAAGCTCTGTTGATACAAATTTGGTTTGGTTTTGGTTTTTTTTGTTTAGTGGGTTTTTTTGGGTCAGTTTGTTGTTTGTTTTCAAATACAAATTGACCAAAAACGATAGCATCAGCTATTTTCCTAAATTTTCTTACAGTTTTCAATAAGATCATTGAATCATTAGATGCAAAAGAAAGTAACAGTTTCAGAACAGATTTTTGGATCACTGAATTTCTACCCCAACTGTTTTTACTTCTCATGGCACCAAGTGTTTAAAAGTCAACTGACCTGGTCATTAAGTTGCCGAATTGTCTTCTCTATATGTGGCAGAAGTCCCCTAAATGTGAACTCCTGTATGAACTGCCTGATTCTGTCGTGATCTGTGAGGGTCAGACAAGCACCATGAGGTGTTCCAGAGTTGGATTTCTTTGAGTCCTGCAATGCTGCTGTGGCCTTTGTGTAATCAGTGCTATCCAGGCTGCCACTGGGATGATCCAGTTGAAGAGGGTGAGTCTTAAAGTTATTTGACAAGCCATCTATTGAAAGATTAAATCAAAAAGCTCAGTTAAGTATTGAGTTACTTCAACATTTTTTGGGTTTATATCTTTTATTAACCTACTTCAAAGTTTTCCTTACTCAGAACCTATCTAAGCAAAGCTATTCACTGATTATTCTCCCCTGCAGATCAGTGCTGAGAAGACAGCAGCAAAGCACTATTTGAGTATTACATCATTCCTGAAATGCTTCAGAAAGCTCAGAGAATCTCAGGAACATGGCTAAATACACATTTTTGGTTCTGAACTACAGGGCAAAGAATCCCTAGCCATGCTGACAAGTATCAGGAACAAAGGAAAACTAAGAAAGCATTAAAATAATGACAAAAAGTTGAAATACAGCAATTACTACAATGGCTCTATTGAATCCATTCACTCTTTTTTTCATTTATGCTTTAAGATTAAAAACTCATTTTCCATGCTGTTCCAAACAACCCTAATGTGAAACAACCTCCTCTAAAGTCCTCTTAGTTATGTGAGAAGGGCTGCTGACCACTACTGCATCTAGCTATCTGAACTAGACTGAGACACCATTTCACTCCAAGACTTCCACAGTTCTCCTATTTCCTTTCCATACCAGAAAATCAGCTTGCTTTATCCAGCCCTAGCTAGCAGTGAACAAAGCCAAGCTGTGAAAGCAAATCCATAGTGGATTTTACTCCTGAAATGTAAAGCTGGGTATGTAAACTTCAAACAGCAGCTTGCAGACTACACCTAGGCTGCAAGGTACTGGAAAGTTGCTTTTTTAGGCAACTGCAGGCTTTCCTCTGTACACTGGGTCTCCTTGTGCCTTTCAAGTCAGGTGAGAAGATCTGGGTTGAGTCAGGCCAGACAGTGTTGGCTACCTCCACTTCTTCCCTACCTGATGTTTCTCAGCTGAATCCTACAAAGTTGCCTTAAAAAGTTTTTTAAAAGGTCATGCACTAATTTGCACTCAGTTTCTTTACTCTCCTCTGTCATCCACCAGCATAATTCCAAACTAAGTTGGCTGTAAGAACTTGCCTTGCAAGTCACTACTCTGTCATTTCCAGATTTAAAACCAAAAACAAGGACAAAAAAACCCAAATCTCAGCTTCCAAGCTAGAGCAAAGCACACTAATCAGAACTTTTATTATGATGAAAATTAGCTATTTAATCCTATGTTACTTTTTATTGGTCATCCATGAGCATAATTCCAAACTAAGTTGGCTGTAAGAACTTGCCTTGCAAGTCACTACTCTGTCATTTCCAGATTTAAAACCAAAAACAAGGACAAAAAAACCCAAATCTCAGCTTCCAAGCTAGAGCAAAGCACACTAATCAGAACTTTTATTATGATGAAAATTAGCTATTTAATCCTATGTTACTTTTTATTGTCACAGTTTGCAGACAATATACATTATCTCAAAAAGAGGAGCACAATAAATCAACAGCCACCTCACTGAAGATCCATCTACCAATTACCAGCAACCCAGTAGATCAGCACTACAGCATTTTTCTTTGTGGACATCAGGTTACATTATCTTTGACCATTTAGAAAATTACTACTTAGAATTCCCTAACAAATGACTTAAGTGATTACTGTCCAAGACATGAGACAGCTATATAAATGCTATCAATGTTTTGATTTAAGTTATAAAAATACCTTTAATTTCACTGTCTAAGCCATCTGATATCAAGTGATCCATATTCTTGTTGGAAACAACAGTGTAAGGACAATCTTCATAGCAATCCTGCCAGAAAACACACAAAAAAAAAGCCAAAATTTTAAGAATGCTAAACCACACACAGAAGTCAGTCAACAGCACTTAACTTCAATAAGTAAATAAAGAAAGCATATTTGTTCTTATATATCCATTTACAAAGTAGTTTGTGAGGCTCTAAGAACCTCTGATATTGTCAAGATGAAAGTTATACTCAACAAATGAAGCAGCTATCTTTTGGTTCACTCAAACAGCTTCACTGTCAACCAAGAGAAGCAACTGCAAGTCTTACACAGCAGTGCCTACCACAGGGAAAATATGCTCCCTAAAGCAATTCCTCAATATGCTCCTACAAAAAAAATAACATCTACATTGGGCAGCTGACATGGGACAGAAAAAAAGAAAACATCTAATTATAGTAGAAGATTATTTACTGGTGCTCTTAGCTTACAGAAATGAGATGTTTTGACTTTCCAGTGCCAGCTAGATTTGACAAAAAACTATGATTCCACAAACAAACCATTTAATCAGATGCAGTTAAAACTGCAGGTCAGTTAAAAGCAAACTTAAGGAGTATTTTTGGTCCTGAAGTCAAAAATACAGCTATTTATGGCAAACTGACTCAAAGAGTCTAACAGACACTATCATTTGCCAGCTTAGCAGATGACAGACTAGACTGGACTGCAAGAAGGTACCAGAAAAACCACAGATACCCCCACAAAACAACACATCTACACTGTTTAGTGAATTAGAGAAGACCTGGAAAAAGCTCAAATTTTAAGAGTGAAGAGAATTAATCAAAATGAAGGTAGGATTTATGAAAGTTACTATGAATAGGACACTTCTGAGGTTACTTGCTCTTATCAGTGCATAAAGCACAAGCCTATTATTGCAGTGCTCCTCTCCACCCATTTCAGACAGTCAAGTACTTCAGTGCCCCTTACTGTGAAGTCAAGAAGCACAGAGGACAGTTCTTTGACAGAGGACTCATCTCAAGCCCTTGCCAAAAGTCACAGCTATGTTAGAAGTACCTTGACTGTCTATCAGCCCATTCTGTAGAAACACTGAGGCAAAACCTAACAGCTAAAATGGGCTTTCACTGGACCTTATTGTATTCTAAAAAGGCATCTGTAATACCTGGTTCTGGATTGTGTTTTTCTGAAGGTACTGACTCCAAGGATCTGGTATCTGTTCATCTGTTCCTCTATTAGATGTCCGAGAATTTATTTTCAGCAAATAACAGCCCTGAGTTCCATACCTCTGCTTCATCTCTTCATAAATGGAGTCAGCCCTGAAAAAGGAAAACATTTACCCTGACTTGGTATCAAACCAACTCTATTCTAGATGCATACTGCAGCAAACTATTTTGTATGACCAAAAGAAGGGGATCTAAAAATACTACTTAGAGAAATGTGCCTTGGTAGTAGTCAGCATACTACCTAAAGGATCCAGTTTTATGTCTAATGTCAAAACAATTTACAGATCCAAACATTTCATAGAATGGTTTCAATCACTCAACATTCCAATCACAGAATGGTTTGGGGCCTTGAAGGTCCTCTAGTTCTAAAACCTCTGCCACAGGCAGGGACACCTTCCACTAGACCAGGTTGCACAAGGTCAACCTGGTCTTGAACACCTCCAGTGATGGAGCATCCACAACTTCCCTGGGCAACCTGTCCCAGTGTCTCACCATCCTCTTAGTGAGGAGCTTCTTCCTCATCTCTAATCTAAAACTACTCACTTCCATTTTGAGCCCATTACCCCTCACATCTTATCACTACGAGTCCCTCCCTAGCTTTCTTGTAGGCCCCCTTCAGATACTGGAAGGCCACAATAAGGTCTTCCTGGAGCCTTCTCATCTCCAGGCTGAACAACCCCAACTCTCTCTCAGCCTGTCCTCGTAGGAGAGGTGTCCCAGCCCTCAACAGTGTAGTCCTCATTTCAGCCAAAGAGTTCACCTGTCAGTTCTCAGAAGGCAGAAGACCCACCAGACCCACCTTTGCTCTTCTCCTGTGCTGACATCATGCAGTAGCACGTAATATTTGAGTGTGTTTGGTATAAACCACTTGGGATACAAGTATTCACTACTGTGCTGAATTCGATGCTGTTCCTGAGACAGCTTCAGGAACTGCTCCACAGGATCTTGTTCACTAGAGGAAACTACAAGCATACCTAAATTCAAGCTAAGGACATTTACTAAAAGAACCCAGGAACAACCACTGATCACACAATAAAACAGGAAGGGCATAAAACAGAATAGATGAGTACAATATTTAAGCCTGTAAGATGCTACCACAGAAGTCTGTGCAGTTAGGATTTGACTTTAATCTTCATAAAAGGCACTATTTAAACAGTCAGTTCACTAACATTTGTAGTGAGATGAGACAGGAGTTCAGTCCCATCTGACACCAAATCCAAGTTTAAGTCAATTAAGCTGGTATTTAAGATTTTAGATACAGACCAACTGTTCACACAAGAAACATAATTGAAAACTAAAGTCTGTTGGGGGGTGAATTTCAAGTTCTAAGAAGAATTGGGACTTTAAGATCTCACCTGAGCAACAATAACTGTCACTATTCCTAAACACAGCAACAACTTCTAAGTAAAAAGCAGAAGTGTTCAGATTTTTACCTCAATGCAACGACAAAATCATTAATAAAGAAGAATCTGCTCTGCTAAATGTATTCACCAAATCAAAGGCATTAATTCAGAGAAGCCAGAAAGTGAGTTGTACTTTAAATTTTACTACAACTCAGAAGTCAAAAGCCAGAATCAATATTTTGCCAAGTTAATGCTGTACAAATGGTTCTCTCTAATAGCTGCTCACATACCTGTCCCACCACACTGCAATGATAAAGAGTTAGGAACAGTGCAGGTGTTATGAAACCTGTAGTATTATCATTATTGTAACACTAGACACCAGCTACATCAGAAACAGTGCATGTTTTTACTTTCCCTGTAGACAAATAAATCAGACCTAGGTTTTGGTAAGAATAAGTGACAGCATTTAGGCACCTTTCCAGACTTCTTCTCATCCAAAATAGCTTGAAGTTGACCAATTTTCTCAAACACCCTCTCCAACCTCCCCACTCCATCTGCTAGAAAAAGCCATAAAAAGCAGCAGGTGCACCCCAAACACACAAGGGGCAGTCAACAGACACCTGAAGAGCTACAGCACTAAGTGCTTTAGGCTGAGGAAGTTTAGTTTACAGGTACTAGAGTCCAGTTTGACACAAAGAAGTCTGGTTTGTTTTTTAACAAAAAAAACAACCACTAAGCACAAAGAAAACCCTGTTCCCATTATGAAATTAGTTGGCATTGTTAAATGTATTGGAAAAATATCTGTTTCAAATCATAATGGCAAGATCTGAAGTCTCCTTTGTTACATTTCTGCAGGCAGGTGTAACAGCCTTCACTGGAAAGGTCTGTAACACTCAAAGGATACATGCAACATAGTGGTTTAAGAATTCATGATCTGATGCAGGCATGGACTGAAGAAAGCACTCTCTGTAAGACTCAAACCAAGGAGTAGTAGCTGGAACACAGAATAAGACAAGATGAATTAGAATATTTCAGCAAAAAAAATCTATTTATTCATTTATGAACAGAAAATATGAAAGACTACATCAAAAAGTAAAGCTTGCAAACTCTGACAAGGTTTGCATGGTAGGGCAAAGGAGGAGGAACAGTCTAAGGAGAAAGCATCTAAAATACACACAAGTGTGAGAAACAGCAACAGTTTGAATCAAACCAGGTGAAGCTGAATAGTATCTCAAGTACTGTAGGCTCACATGTATTCAATCCTTGTTAGATTAACTACTTCTTACCACCCCTTTAAGCACATACACTTGGGAAAGAAAAAAATAACAATTCTACTAACAGTCACTGAATCTGCCTCAGCTAGGGATGGGAGAACTGAGTGAGAAGTAAAATTAATTTCTAAGCAGAAGCAGAGCTAAGTATTACCAAAACCCTCATCTGACAGTTTGTCTAAAGCTTTCTGCAAGTGTGGCTTGGCTTGACAGTAGTCCCCTTCTTTTGCCTTGCCAAAATAAACAGCTCAGCTGTCAGCTGTCAAAGAAGAGATCCAAAAAGCAAAAAGCTCACATCTGAGTCCATTAATGTCTTTAATACATTAATATGACAACCTGCCATGTTCAAATGCCCTTTTACAACAGGGATTTCTTTTTTCCAAGAGCAACAAATCAAGAGAAACTAAGTATGTCTGCACTATCTAAAGAACATGTGAACTTAAAAATCTTGTCTGTTTGTTTCCACTCCAACTATCAGTCAGCAATGAACCATTATTCCTTCTTTCAAGCCCCTTTTATGCCATCTCCATTCTGCAGCTCCTTCCTTGAAGTGGAAAAAAAAGACCTCAGAGCAAAGTCAGTCCACCTCTAGTAACCTGATTTCACACTGAAGTTAGCTGGAATCCAGCACAAATTCACCTGCAATCTAGAAGACAGTAACTAGTATAGAAGATAATGAATAATAAGAAATCCTGAAGGTATTTATTTTCCTTATATCACCCCAAGAAAACACATTCCTTGATTTAACTGACATCATTTTTAATACTTTATAAACCTCCCCTGCCCCCTCTCCTCCAAACTTCACCACCTTGCTTTCTTAGCTGACTTTTAAGAAACTGACTTTCATTTTTATGTTGGAATTATTTTCTAATATATTAAGTTAAAGTATTTTGTTTAATCCTATATTATCAGGTCATCTTACATCAGCTCCAGCCACTCAGATATAGTCAGGTATAGTGACACTTCAAAACTGAACTCAGTCTAGCAGTCAGCACATATCACCAAAAAAGATCAACTGGAGGCAAACTTGTAGCTTTTGGTTAGAGCCTTTCTACCAACTGCTCTCTGAGCACTCACCTATGGCAGAAAAAGCTCCTGGCTTTACCAAGCCCTACATTTAAATACAACAACTATTTAAATGAAGGAAAACAGAGCTTGTGAGTAAAAACAAGCCATGAAAAAGTGACTCATATGTGTGTTTTTCATGAGTACAAACCCATGTGGTAACTCAGGTACAAGCCAAACTAATGCTGAACTACCCAAGGCAGAAGTTTCAACTGCCTTTTAGTTTCAAGTTGTTTTCAGTTTTCCATTTCTGTTTCACAGCTGAATCATAAGTTTAAAAAAAAAATTCTTCTAACATGTGACTCAGCTACACAGAGGGCAGTACTACTTTCTTTTTGTGAGTTTTTTTTTTTCCCCCTCCCCTTTCTCATTCAGCCTGTTAAGAACCTTGGAAGTAGCTACAAAGGCAACTGAATTCCCTTTATACAACCAAAACATACACCAACAGTATTCACTCAAGAGCATTTACAGGGCTGCAATCATTTACAGTAGATACTTCTAATAAACACACACCATGTTCAAAACAAAAACAGTATCTGATTTTTTCACAGATGTAACATTTATAACACATTACAGCAGTGCACAGCAGCACTGTGCCATTTAGGTACAGGGACCTAGATGTTTTCCATTTTTCCAGTAAAATGTTTTCAGCATATTAAACAGAACTAAAGTTGAAGCAGATTTGTTAATGTGTTCAGAAAGAAAAAAATAATATTCATACATAACAGCTTAAGAAGGAGAAGTCTACCTCATGAAGTTTTGTACTTTTTAGCTACCTGGCCAAGATGATTCTTGTACTCTGTACTCATACTCTAGCACTTTCAGAAAGGAAGCCATTTAGCAGCAGCTGAAAACACACTATTGAAAAGAGAATTACTACTAACCAAGGGAATAAACTTTGTTAGTATCTAAAAACTGAAAAACATCAAGATCTATCTCTTACTGGCACAACACAGAACTTCATTGTTATTTGAGAGGTCAATAATCAACGTGTTTTGGTAGCAATAACTCTTCTAAACTAAGTGAAAATGTATTAGAAAGCTTTTTTTTGTATTGAAGGGAATCATAATCCAGAAAGAGT